AATTTTTAATTAATTTTTGTCTCATGAATTAGACTTAAGCCTTGTCAAAATTTGGGAGAGGGCACTGGCTCCTGTCACACAGGTTATACCTAGCTCAGGAGTCAGGGACTTCATCAATATGTTGTAATCTATTTTGTGACAATAGAAATATTATATTATATTATATTATACTCCTTGTAAAAGAGTTCGTCCAGGGAAGTACTGCAACCTTACCCATTTCTGCCATCAAGCAGTAATGGGAGCATTACTGCGTTCTGGTTTAAGAGGGTAAGGGTGCTAGTAAAATTACAGGCAAATGGGACTTGTCAATTCGTGTCTCAGAGCCCATCAAACATTTACGATTTAAAGCTATTGAATGGGATAGATATGTCGATAGGCGCTAGGCGTGTCGCTTACCACCAGGCGCATAGCGTCTTGTTACTTGGTATTATAAAAAAAATGACGGCAAACAAAATAATCCCACCCTGCCGTTCCTCCATTTTAACCCTTTGGGAGGTATCATATTCAACTCTACAGAGAACATATTAAATGCGGTGAAGTTGACAACATAATAATAAAAGCTATGAAACTGCGCACGCGCAGCACGACTACATACTGTGCAACGATTTCCGTGGGTGGAAGTTAATATGATTCAGTTAAGGGCAAGACGGCACAACTGAACAGAATTTATTCGTTAACCCTTGTCTAATTTTAGATTCATCATCACAGTCAATCCGTCTCACTGCTAAACACGGGTCTCCCCTACTCGGGAAAATAAAAACGGTTACTTAAAATAAGTATTCAAATGAAGAAACTTTCATAATTTTCTCACAGGTGGCGCTGACGGAATAAAATGCCGTTTATATGATGATTTTTAAACCATTTTTGAATTTTTTTTGTGCATTATGTAGCTAATAGTTAATAATTTAATATGTTAGTAATTTATGTTCAAGTCTAAAATGTAGCTTAATTTTAATATTAAGTGTAAATTGCTACACCTTACGGGGCATTACGTATATGCACCAACTAACATAGTCCTAAAGTTATCAATCTCTACCACCCATCATTGTGAAATGCAAAATAAATAATTTGATTGTAAAAAACAAAGTGGGCAATTGCAGTGTTTCTTGAAAAAAAAACAGTTTTTTGCACACTTTGTGACATAGATAAATGATCTCGAAGGTTTTAAAATTTCCCAAAAACATGGCTGACCTGCAACCATATTTATCTGCCTCTGTGGCCAAACGGTTACCATGCCACGCAGAGTTCCCAGATTCGATTCCCGGGCCGGGAGAAATATTTATCGTGAGTTTGGTTGTCTATGTATGTGTCCATGGCACCCGCGACACAGGGTTTCCCTAGTGCGGGGCTATGGTGAGTGTGTGCGTTATTATCATCATTTAGCAGTATAATCGAAAATAATGGGTATTAAAGAGGCTTATAGGTGACTCAGAATTAGTAGAGGCGAAGCTGCAGAGCCTTGAACACCGCCGTAAAATTGCCTGCTTAACGGTATTAAACAGGGTATATCACGGAGAGTGTGCGATAGAATTACATAATTTGATTCCGCCTTTCCATCATCGGGGGACTAGGCGTAGGCTTGGCTCCCACCCCTATGTTGTGGATATTCCAAAGATTCGCACGAAGCGTTACGCTTCCACATTTATATGGCGAACGGCTATGGGGGTGGAATTCCCTGCCTGCAGACTTGTTCCCCGAAAGTTATAACTTGGACCTTTTCAAGGCGAGAGTGAGTAGGCCTTATTTAAAACTGCATGCTACATCGTTGACCTCATCATCACTTTCCACCAGGTGAGAGGTCAAATGCGCACTTACTTTTTATTTAAAAAAAAAATAAAATAATAATAATAATAATAATAACGCACACACTCAACATAGCCCCGCACTAGGGAAACCCTGTGTCGCGGGTGCCATGGGCACACACATAGACAACCACAAATTACACCCAAACTCACGAGAGAAATAAATGTAGGTCATACAAATATTTCTCCCGGCCCGGGAATCGAACCTGGGACCTCTGCGTGGCAGTCCGGCATGGTAACCGTTCGACCACGGAGGCAGTTATATGAGGGTACTGTTGAGTCTGCTCCTTAATTCACGAGTTAATCCAAACGCAAACTCGTCAGATTTGTTTACGGGCCATATACGGACCGATTACGGACCATAAAACGATCGCATTGCATTGTGGTACACGGCACATGTAGATGGAAAAAAAAAACTGCTACAATCTTATCTAGGAATATGGTTTAGCTCATTTTGCCGCGTTGTGACTCTATCTTCGGGATACGAATTGTTTGCACTACCAATTTTAGATTTATTTCATAGGAACGACGTACAGATCGACTCGGCATTTCTGTGTTCCGGTTTTGAAGGGCAAGGGTGCTGGTGAAAATACAGGCACATGGGACGAGTCAACTTATGTATCAGATCTTTGCAATTTAAAGCTCCGAGTGCCACTGAAACTGTTATGAACAGGCGTGTAGCTTACCATCACGCGTACGACTATCGCTTGTATGTACTTCTAGAGATAAAATGATCCCTCTGCTAAATCGGACCGTCATTTCTCGGATTCGGAACTAGGGGTCGATTCGAGAACCTTACGATAACTCGGTTGTCGACCGATTTCTTTTAATTTTTATTCACAACACCCGAATCGGACGTCAAACTGTCGTATTCGAAACCAAACCGAAATGACGTGACGCCAGTACTCGAACCTCTCGACCGGCAAAGGCTACAAACGTTATTGAATGAAAGTTATGTCCTATTGTTTACAAAGCAGGAATATAATACGGAAATCTCTTATTATTTTAAATAAAATCAGGATTTTGTACAATTTAATTAATTTATTTTAATGCAAGACTAATGCATTCCTGTATTTTAGGCCTTTAAAGTCTTAAAAATGTATAAGAAAGGATTTTCATTTTTCTTATAATCTATTTCACCGACTAACTCCTTAAACGCTGTTGGATCACAATATCACGTGTTTGTTTAACTCGAAAGTTCTGAATAGCTCGAAAAGCGCCCTTCAATTCGAGAACGATATCCAGTCGAATGAGTCGAGGTCCTTATACAAATCGAACGTAGCGCGCAAACGCTCTAAGAGTGGCAAATTATAAGATAAATCCAGTTCTTTAAATTTCACCCAGTTTCCGTTATCCGATTTCAATAAAACTTGTCGGTTATTTTTATAAAAAGTTGTAATTTTATCAAATAATAATACACTTAATGTAGTATTTCAATGAAACACGGCGAGTGTGCGACAACAACTGGTTTATTCTATTTTGATACACCGGTACATGGTATTTCTTAAGTCTACCCACAACATCTCCCCCAAAAAGATTTTATAAGAACAACATAAACTAAAACAATTTCTGGAAGGTTTCATAATCATAATCAGAGATCAGAGAATCAGAGATTTCATAATATCTGATTGAACACTAGCAACTATAGTATACATTACATGCCAACCCTCCTTTTATGTTTACTACAAACATCATACATATTATATTAATTAACATACACTATTATTTTTAAATTAAACTTACCCATCACCATTGAGTTAAACTTAACCTACGTAATGAAATATCTTAAACTATGTTTTTTTTTTTTTTTAATTACATTAATATCATTTGTTAAGTAACATTTATTGCGTTAACGTAATGTAAACAAGACGAACATGTGGGGTAAATTTTATTGTAATGATTATGCTTAATAATTGTTTCATTTGTCCTGTTTAGATTCCATCAACATTTTTGCTCGTCTTCGCGTGATTCTAAGAAATTTCGGTTGTATATGGTTGGAGCTATCTACATCGTTAGACTCAGATTTGTGATTCTCCGGGTGACTTACATTATCGCACGCGTCCTTGAACTCGTCACTGACCATATCTGATTACTCTTGAGAGCTCGAGGGCGCGAGTGCTGCGCTGATCGGAGGCTCACATTTAATTAAATGACGGCGGTTTCGTCTAAGCTTGCCCCCCACCTTATTTTGAATTACATAGGAGCGTGGAGTAGCCGCCTTGCCTACAACAGTTGCGCGAGTCCTCGCTTTTCCTTCAATACATACAACCTCATCGCCTACATTAAGTGTTGGTAAATTCTTAGTATGTTTATCGTACCGTTCTTTAATTTTAAACTGATTGCGTAACATAGTATGGTATTCTGATGAGTCAATGGGTTGCGGTTTTAATAAGTCGGGGTGCACTGGTAACTTACATCTTAGTCTACGACCCATCAGAAGCTGCGCAGGAGAGCTTAAACCGTCCCTAGGTGTATTACGAAAATTCAGTAACGCTAAGTGAAAATCGCCATTGCTATTCATTGCTTTCTTAAGTAATGATTTAACAGTTTGCACTGCTCGCTCGCTCTTGCCGTTCGCCTGAGCATAGTTTGGCGAGGACGTAACGTGATGGAACCCCCACTCTCTCGCAAACATTTTGAATTCGCGACTACTATATTGTGTCCCATTATCGCTTATTAAGGTTTCCGGAATACCATGACGTGAAAAAATATCCTTTGTACTCATTATAACGGAATTTGATGAAATGTTCGGCAACTGACACACTTCTACGTAGTTGGAATAGTAGTCTACAATTATTAAAAAATATTTCTTTTTTATTTCAAAAATATCAGAACCTACTTTTTTCCACGGCAGCTCGGGAATTTCGATTGGAATTAGTGGTTCTTTGGCGGGTGTGTTTAAGCATTCCTGGCAGGTACGACAGCGTCTCACAAACATTTCGATATCGCGCGTCATGTTGGGCCAGTACATTACCTGCCTCGCGCGCCTCTTGCACCTATCTATGCCCATATGACCCTCGTGTATTAACTTCAACATTGGTAGTCGTAAAACCTGTGGTATTAAAACTAAATTGTTTTTAAAAATGACACCATCGACTATGAAAAATTCATCCCTTAAGGACCAATATGCTTTTAAGTCACTCTCTATTTGCGACTTATGATCGGGCCAGCCAATACTAATATATTCGCTTAATTTACGGCATTCAGAATCACGTTTAGTCTCCTTTTTGATCATTGATAGTTTGTCGTTCGACATTGGTAAACTATTTACTATTAACTGTATCTGATACAAATTGTTTTTATGAACTTCTTCGCTGTATAGATCGGGCAACGGCGCACGAGACAATGTATCCGCAATATACATGTACTTTCCCGGCTTGTACTGAACGACCAGGTCATAGTGTTGTAATCGCAACATCATGCGCTGCAAGCGTGCTGGTACAGACATTAACGGTTTTTTGAAAATGCTCTCGAGGGGCTTGTGATCGGATTCCACAATAACCTTTTCTTTGCCAAATATATATTGGTGGAATCTTTCACAAGCGAATACAATGGCTAGGAGCTCTTTTTCCACTTGCGCGTATCGACGCTGTGCGTCCGTGAGCGTGCGGGACGCAAACTCGACGGGGCGGCCCCCTTGCAACAACACGGCACCCAGCGCATCACGCGACGCGTCCACCGACAACAGGGCCGGTGCCGCCACGTCATATAACGCCAACACGTCTGCGCCTCCTACCGCTTCCTTTAATTCTGTGAATGCTTTCTGTTCGCTATGTTCCCACCGCCAGCTATTTTCTTTTTTAAGCAAATTCGTAAGGGGTATTGCTCGTTGTGAATAGTTCGGTATAAATTTCGATAAATAATTTACAGCTCCTAGGAACCTCTCCAAACTTTTTCTGTCGTTTGGCGGAGGCATCTCCTTTATCGCCCTGACCTTATTGTCATCGGGCCTCATTCCATTGGCGTCAAATATGTGCCCAAGATATGTGACTTCTTTTAATCCTATTCTGCACTTCGCTTTGTTGAACTTAAGATTAATTGTTCTAGCTCTTTCTAGAAGCATGCCTAATCTCTCATCGTGTTCGCTCCTCGTTTTTCCCCATACGATGATGTCATCGATAAAATTATCAACCCCATCAAGGTCTTCCAACAGCTGACGTATTTTGCCATGAAAGACTTCCGAAGCACAATTAATACCGAATGGCAAGCGCAAAAACTGATAGCGGCCAAATGGTGTGGCGAACGTGCACAAGTCGGCACTCTCGTCGTCAAGCTGCACGACCCAAAAGCCAGAGTTGGCGTCGAGCACGGAGAAGTATGCGGCGCCATGGAGACGCGCCGCCAACTCCGCCAGCGTGGGCAGCTGGTAGTGCGCGCGTTGCACTGCGACGTTTAACTCACGCGGGTCGAGGCACACGCGTATGCCGCCGTCCTTTTTTGCCACTATCACTAGAGGGTGGACCCATTGAGTTGGATGTGTGACTTTTCTAATTACCCCTAATTGTTCCATTTTTCTCAGCTCCTCCAATAAGCGGTCTTTCAAACTTAACGGTATTTTTCTACTTGCGCATATGACAGGCGGCACGGACTGATCGACTACGATATGATATTTGCCGGGAAGACACCCTAAGCCATTAAACAAATCAGCATATTTATCTAACTGTATAACATTAACGCGTTTTATTAATCCTATGTCTGCACACGACTGTCGTCCCAGCACGCTTTGACATTTAATGTTGGCTACCGCAAAGGACAATTTATAAGGTTTGTTTTTATACCACCAGTTTAAACTACATACACCTTTGATAGGAATCACATCCCCAGTGTACGATTCCAGTTTCATCTTTGACGGTTTCAACATTTTATCGTTAAAACCTAATAATAAAAATTTTTCAAAAGAAATAACATTTATGTCTGCGCCCGTGTCGAGCTTAAAATGCTCACTACCGTTTTCGCAGTACAAAGTTTCTGTCCAGTGCCCTTTGCTATTTATCGAATAAACCATATCCATATAAAACGGTTCATTATCAGAATCAGTACTATAACAGTGACTTTGTTCGATTTCGTACACTTTTTTGATACCGCTATCGTTGTTAACAAAACGGGCCTTACACATTCTAGCAAAATGTCCTCGATTACCGCAAGCAAAACATGTCACATACATCGCCGGACACTCACGGGTAGAACAGCGCGCGCCGCTGCCGCCGCAGCCAGCACACTCGCGAAGCGGAGCCGGGGGCCGCGCGCCGCCTGCTCTGCGCCCGCGCCAGCCCGCGCTCGGCCCACCGCCGCCGCCGCGCCGCTCAGGCCGCGCGCGCCTCTCCACACCGTGCACATGTGCCGCACTTGAACACTCACTATTTACACACAACTGCCTCCCGCTTTCTTGAGACACCTCCTCGGCTTGACACAGCTTGATCGCCTTATCCAGGTCGAGATCTTCACATCTCAGTAACCTATCTCTCACAGTGGGATTCCGAACACCACATACGATGCGATCCTTAATCAACTCTTCTTGCAGAGTACCGAACTCGCAATCCTTACTTAGCAAACGCAACGCAGTCACGTACGTTTGAATCGACTCCCCGTCGTCTTGATTCCGCGTAAAGAACTTGTATCTCACCAACGTTATGTTGATTTTGGCACCAAAGTACTTGTCAAATTTTTTTATTATTACGTTCACGTCATCCTTATCTTTGTCGTTTTCAAATGAAAAAGTTTGGTAAACGTCGAAACCCTCGGGGCCGATGAGGTTGACAAGTAGACTGGCCTGCACTCCAGAGGACTCACTCTTCACCCCGGATGCCTTCACAAATAGATTGAATTGCTGTCTCCACCGCTTCCACGCATCGGCCCTGCTAACGGGACCGCCCTCCATATTTAATTCCTGCGGTGGCCTCGCGTGCTCCATTATTACGCTGATTTTTTTTTTTTACTTCAATTACACTAAACTTTTAGTTTTAGATTATCACACCAATACTTGCAGTATTACACTTCATAAGTATACTTTTTTAGCCGAAAAGATAAAACACCGCTGCCACCATGTGGTATTTCAATGAAACACGGCGAGTGTGCGACAACAACTGGTTTATTCTATTTTGATACACCGGTACATGGTATTTCTTAAGTCTACCCACAACACTTAAGGTGAGGTAATTCAACATGAGCTTAGAGTTTAGGAGGTGCGGGGTGGGTGGGTCGTCACTCGCGTCCCGCAATCCGCGCACTCAAATTTGAATATGAATAAAATAAGAACAGGTGGAGAAAATTTGATACAGATCCGACGCCGACAAGCGCCCGATGGCGACTAACGGGGCAGCAGGAGGCGCGGCGTATCGTCAAACCGTCGAGCAATTTGTAAATTTTGGAATAAATGTGAATTTAATAACTATAGGGCGTCAATTGAAAACCAAGATTTAGCACGTTCTCTGTATAGTACTTATAGGTAAATACAGGACAGACATGACGAACAACTTGTGAGCCTGGTAGTAAGAGACACGTTCAGAACAGTCGTAGTGCCACTCAGAGCTTTAATCCGCAGTCACCCTGAGACATTAGTTGACAAGTCCCACGTCCCTGTAATTTCACAAGCACATTTATATGATCGAATAAAGTACGTTCAACCGTGTGACGAATTCGCTCATTCTTTAGACAATGTCCTTAGGTATATCCTATGATTTTTATAAGACTGTTATTTAGTAGTAAATACCAAAACCATTTGAAAAACAAAACAGTTTTTTCCCGCTTCTTCTGTGAATCGCCCTAATTTAAGTATTTGTCTAGAAGAAATTGACTCTCAACAGTGAGACATATATGGCCTGATACACTCAGTAATAACAAATGAACATAATGTACGTTGACGCAAAGCAATATGATTTCATTATCTTGACAATCTTAATTGGACTAAATTTAATGGGATGGTAGCCACATTGGGAATTCGGACATTTTATTAAACGTCTAATCTAAATACGCCTCTTGATCGAGATATGCAACGAGCGGTCGACATTTCAATGCGGAAACTAATTTCAGAATGTATTCATGATTTGGAAATTTCGATATATTATTAGTAAGTAGTAGCAGTAGAACTCCGTGTAAAATTCGTCCAAGGAAGTACTGCCACCTTACCTATTTCTGCCGCCAAGCAGTAATGTTCGCGTGGTGCTGGTGAAATTGCAGGAACATGGGACTTGTCAACTTAAGTCTCAGATGTTTTGTTGAAAGCTTTCAGTAGCACTGAAACTGATTCAAAATGACGGCACGAATTGTTTATCTCGTCACATTGTATCAGTAAAAATGCAAAGGTTAAACGTTACCACTATAATGGTTCTTTTTGCGTGCAAGCAAAAGCAGCTAGTGGCAAAGGTGTTTCAGGGCTAGATCATATTTTTATTATAAACCAAAGATTGTCTCAAAAAGGGGTTAACAAAATAACAGACGATACTAGCTACAAATCTAGTCTAGTCAAAGTTTGTAAAGAAACCTGTTCTGCAGCTTAATTTTAATTGTCTCTCCCGATCGCGATTCACAACTGACCGATCGGAAATTTTTGACATTTCTAATCGGAACAATAGTAGATTTAACTCACAAATTAGAAAGATATAGTAGGAATCAGGTTCATCTTCTCGCTCTGAAACCCATCAGGTTTCGAGACTGCCCAATCGAACCAATCCCGATTTGAATCAAAATCAGGACGCTGGAAATGAGAAGGCATCAACTTTGCTTACAGTACATAATATTTATCGACCTCAGTGGCTTAACTACTACTAACACAGTACTGTGAGCGCTGCATTAGGAGATCCTGGATTCGATTCCTGGTAGGACACAAGCGCAACTACATTCACAAACACCACCAACAAAAATATTCTAGGCACGTGTTTTGCTTCTCCACGAGACATCTTCAAGAGTTGTTGATTGTTAGAACCTCAGTCGTAGAACACTTTTTTTATGTTACCAAGTGACGGGACCGCCTGGTGGTAAGCGACACGTCTGACCATAGCAGTTGCAGTGCCATTCAGAACTTTAAATCGTAAAGATCTGAAGGGTTGTCACTGCTTCCGTCATTCGGAGACATAAATTGAAAAATACCATGTGTCTGTAATTTCATTAACAACGATACTCTTCCAAATCGGAAAGCAGTGATTCTCACAGATTACTGTTTGACGGCAAAAATAGGTAGTAAGGTGGCAGTATATCTTTGAACGAACTCATTTAAAAGGAGCTATACCGCTACTAAATAATTGTTTCTATCTTAATCTATTAAAGTTTTATATGTCGAATTACACTCAACTGCTACTTACGGTTTACACCATGCCGATTTACCAAAAAGTCCATTTCAGATGTTTACCTGCAACAAATATAAATAAAACAATTAATAAATCTGTCTAAACAGCCGCGATTCGCGTCTCGACAAACTGGAAATTACGACTTGACTTCATTGATGTGCAGAATTTCTTTGAGTATTTGAATTTATTACACAAACTTCAAATACCACTTTAGATTCCCTAAATAGAAATTACAACATCTTTATCATGTAGTGTTGTAATAACCAAGGTTGATGCTGATGTTGGTTTTTACAGGTAGGAATTTCCTAGTCTTAAGGTAGTTTTCCACCGGCAAGGCAAGACGAGAATTGAAATTTGTATGAGAAAATTTCAATTCCCTCCTAGCTCATATTTGGTGGAAATAGCCTGGATGACGAGGATGGGCAAAGCGAGATTTGAAATATTTGTTCGTGTAATATTGAACCGTATTGCTGGGTACTGTAGACTAGGCTCTACTCTATGAGTAGAATTGCTGGCTGAATATAGGTAGTGATTATAGTTTTATATTTAGAATGTTAAGGATTGAAATAAGAAAACAGAAGATCTTGACATATTAAGATTATTGATTGTAATCTGAAAGTGAAAATATGTAAAAACGTGAAATAAACCAAAGTTCTTAAGATGATCCCGGTTTATATTATTAGAAGTACCTCTCGCTACGCAATCTGAGTTACCCCTCATTACAGTACATAGAGTATTATACTCTGCACGATTTCTCGTGCGAGCTCGTGAGTGCGCGCACGGTCTCGCGCGAGTTAAGCTCTTTCGGAGAGCTTTCATAAAAGATATAATTTTTAATAAATGAAAAGTTATAATTATTAATACACAGATCGAATACTCAGAAAAAATTCCTTAGATCCGGCCGGATTCGAACCGACGTTTTCTAGCATACCGTGGCTGACGCTATACCAACTAAGCCACGGAACGAACCAGCGGAGCTCACGAATTTTTCTATGTACTTGTTGTCGTGTCTTACATTATAACAAACTAGTGGTGTAATTTCACATTCCTTTCATGGCATTTGGCAATCCTGGTTGAAAATTTTGAGGGAATGGTTCGACTGCAGTACCACTTACAGCTGCAGATCCTGATGCGGCAGAGCATGATCCTGGGTAACCTATCACAAACTAGATTTTCTTTTCGTAATAACGTTTGTTCGAATTTTTATTACATCGAAAACCGAATTATAACGAAACCGTTGTTCTATCAGAATATGTTGGATGTTTGTCACAAAGACACGATTAGGTTCGGTTATGTTAGGTTTAAAATAAAAAACATTTTTCTCTCAAAATTACTTCGAGGTTATGAAATTTCGATCAAACGTTATTTCTGGAAAATGTCATTTCGGACTATTGATAGGTAACCATGATGGTGTCCAACCTCCGATAGGCGAGGAACTCGTAGAAGGAAATTTCACTTGTAATTGTCACATTTATTAAACTCATTCGTAGAAGAACGAGTAAAAAACACTATGGGTGGCTTGTTATTAGACATTTTGTACACATTTACAATAAGTATTTAGTTCAAATACGATAGATCAAAACCTATCCTACAAGAGAAAAATGGGTCACTATAGATTTTGTCATCCAAACAACGGTGTAATAATAATGATCTACAGTATGAAGTTATGTTTATCGATAATTTTAAGCCCCTTTAATGGCAAAGTTTATAACAAACAGGAATCTTGTTACAGAAGCGTATACATTGCTTAAATGAATTTGTGACTTAGTGAAGATGGCTTTCAAGAACCGCTCGTTTATTTTCAACCGACTTCAAAAAAGGAGTTTCTCAGCTTTTCTTCAGTATGTTACAAAAAATAGTAAACGCTTTATTCAACTTAATAGTGTGCCATTTAGAATGTCTGTGATACTTACGATAGTTAAAAATTTTCCTACAATACGCGATACCAAACGGCTGATTAAAGTTGTTGAACAATATTGAATAACAATCCGAAATACGTTAGTTTTACTGTAAGTAGTTGACGAGATGTTGTAGAGCCTTGAACACCGCCGAAAAGCAGCAGTAGAGATTCTTGTCAAAGAGTTCGTCCAGGGAAATACTGCCAATTACCCCAATTCTGCTGCCAAGCAGTAATGTGAGCATTACTGTGTTCCAGTTTTGGAGGGTAAGGGTGCTGGTGCAATTACAGGTACACGGGACTTGTCAACTTATGTCTTAGGGCATCGAGTATATAACCAGAAATAGTGACGAAACGTCTTTTCATTTGCTTGAAAATTATTCTGGCAAATCATTACAGTCCCGAATTCGAAACAATTGACAGGTGTCGTCAGTTGTTTCACTTGAAATCAACCAGTTTAACTTGAGCTTTGCTATAATGGACGAAAATTGAAAAATTACATATTTAATTACCAATGAAATGTGATTCCGTTTGTTTTGTATTTAGATGTTTTGCTGTTCTTCTCACACCACCGAATGTAACAGCCCCTATAGTTAGAGATATTATTTTTGTTACAATATATACAGAATATTTTTGGAATATACGGAGACGTACACACAGGTCAGTTGTTGGCGTTGTATTATTTCAATTTTCTAATGTGTGATTTCAGCGCAAACGAGAGTTGATATTTAA